ACCAGCTGTTCAGCTTTTCACTAGGGTTTGACTGATATATTGTTTGAAAGGTCACAAAGAGCACTGTTCATTTTTCCCAAAGTGCCACATATACATTGTTTACATGGAACTTTGTAAGTATTAAGAAGATCAAAATACACATTTTGAAGCGTTTTAGAATACTTAAAAATTTAGCACCAATCGAAGCGCCTGAAAATTAACCCTTCCTATTCTAACAGGGCACATTATGTAACGTTAAATGATGATGTTGTTCGCTCAAGGCCACTCAGAATTCTCGGGCATTCAATTCAGTTACAGGAGTTTACACTTTTTAAAATTTAATGTAAGCAACCAAATGTAACAAAGTTGTGTGTCTTTCTGTTTTGACTTAACAATACTTTGAAAGTGTGTTGCAATAATAGGATTTCCTGTTTCAAATCGTTATTTGGCCAATCAACATCCATTAACAGAGTTTTATTTGTGTTTCACGTTAATTCTGAATGATACTGTGTGAGTGAACACTAGAATAAAATGTGGTCTTTTTTTGTCCAGAAGCAGATGTTGACAATTATTTTTGCTGATGAGCTCCATTCACTGCTCTTCATTAAATATTGCATATGGGAAATGGTTTTATCAACTGTGACTTGCTTTGACAGCTTTGAGTGTTTTCTCAGTCAACTTCTTGGGGTCCCGACGTCATGAGCAGAAGTGAATCTGGCAGCAAAATCAAAGGATGCTGCAGCTTGAAAGTCAGGAAGGCCTGCCTTAGAAAACATACTCTACTCTGAGACCATAACTTATAAAGTGAACATCATGTTGTGTTAGTAAGAGTTGGAATGATTGACAGAGCCGATAAAGTCATCAGCAAAGTGTTAATTGAAGTCATAGATAATGTGTTGGGGCTATTTCTCCATAGACTTCTACACAAACTGACTTCTTCCTTCACCCAAAGTTATTTGCTGTGTACTGTACTGCTCTGTGTCCCTTTGTGTCATTGGCATTTAACACAGAAGGTTTATTTCTCATAGGATTAGCTTTCATTTGAACTTTGCGCATGGACTGAAAATTTTTAATCTGCCATCGGTGATTAAATTATGACACTATTACGGGTTAATGAAACAATTAAAGCACATCACCTTGGAATACCAGTACCATTTTGATCTCAGATGAGGTTGGATGTAAACTAGATTACAGAGTATACACAGTAATATGCAGTAGTAAGGTTGCAAAAAATATTTTCAAATATTCATTTAACTGTTAAATATTACATTTTCTTTGTGTAGCCTAGCTGTGGTCAGGAGTGATCTCCATCATGCCAGCAGGTGACAACACAACTGTTTGATCGCTATTATATTTGCTGAAAATATCAGTCAAACCCTAATTTTTAAAGCTCAGTGGTTCCCACATATTTCAGATGATATGAAAACACACTTGGGTTACATGTAGCCAAAACACACGCACTCCCACAAACACTCACAATCACATATGAGCTTAAATAAACACAATAAACACAAATGGCTGTTGCATTTGTTTTTCTGCTCAGTTCATTTTTTGCACAGTCTTCTGGCACTCACTGGAAACTCCAAAAGGTAAAAATGGACACCGAGCCACTTCAGTCACTGTTGGCCGGGCCTGTCACAGCACAGCACAGCATGGAACGGAGCAGTTAGCTGTTGGTCTGGCCTGAATATAGCCTGCGTTGGCCTAGTTGAGGCAGAATTTTGGCTATTTGTGGCCTGGCTGGGCAGTCGTTTTGGCCACGGATGCACAAAACCCTTCTCACTTTTCACTGGGTTGATTAATTAGAACCCGTCTATCTGATGCATACAACATAAAATAAAGTACTGTCTTTAAAAGTTAAATCACACGCTTTCAACTACAGTGGTGATGAATCACTATAAAGTAATAGAAAAAAAATAAAATACTGATTTTCTTGAAAAGAAACATGATTATGGAATAATTTAACAATGGATGAATGTCATGAGCTCATGAAGCTATATAGTCTCTAAAAAAGACACCCGACATACAAACATTTATGCAAGCAAGATAGATATATCGACCCCATATGTTGTAATCTTGGAAGAAAGCTATGCTGCGATGATTTTTTTTTTTCCATGAAAAGGCAGGTTCATCCTCTAAATTTGGAAGCTTGTAGGTGGCAATTAATATGACATGGGGGAGAGAGTAGAGTACTCCTTCTACATAAGAGCATCAGTACACATTGCAGTGACAGGTACATATGGAAAAGGGGGGAAAAGGACATAAAATAACAACCCAGTGGGGTAAACACCTCTTCTCTTCCAAATCACACATCTTTTCGTTGCTGAACCAAATCTAAACACATGGTCTGCATTTTTGGCATCTGTGGTGTCTTTTACATATTCATATGTCCCCACTGTCAACAAACCGTAAACAGTAAAGAGGTAAAAACTAAGTACCTGGATGGCCTGGCCATGTATTTGTTGGCCTCAGTACCTCCTCTGTGTCAAATGTACTCCTTCTACACAAGGTCATAACGACATTGTATGTCAGATGCAAAACACTGCGCAGCTACAACTCTGTAAAAGGGTTGTAAAGAGGTAATAGTATGCAATACCAAGGCTGTGATAACCATATAAATTTAAAAGGCTGCTCCACCTGCCATTCTTTTCTCTGAAAAGGTTTATATAGTGACCTTGGAGCTACAAGGTTCAATCTGATGTTCTAATCAGAAACTGTGTGTCTGTGGTTTCATTTCTCTGTGTTTATTCAAAACAGAGGCAATAAATACATTTTTTACAGCCCCTTAGCACACAATTACCATAATATACCGAGAGGGGTTGATAGGGCGGCTGATACACTCAATGATTACCTCTGGAGGTGCTGAGATTTCAGGCTTCCCTTTGCAGCCTGGGGTCTTATTTTAAAACACCACTATTATCTGTTCTCAGATTTTAACTGCTGTAGAATAAAGGTACAAGTGGGTGAAACTTTATTGCTTCTGCTCTCTCGTAACTGTGTCTGTCCAGTAAAGTATACACAGTACAGTATGTGCTCTTAGGAAAAGGTACAATTCCCAAGAGTTGCTAAAAATGTGAACTGTCTTAATCTTTTGTGAGCAATAAAACTGGAGATCAGCTGATGAACCTTATAAGCTAAAGGTCAGTATATAGTGAAGACTGATGCTGCTGAATCTAATCAACAAACACGTCACCAGAAGGTGAAGTTTTGAAGTTATACGGTGAAGCAATCCAACCAAATCTCAGTAACAAAGTGTGCAAATTGTAACAACATTAGTGTGATAATCATTGCAAATGGCCAAACAGCTATTCAGTGACATTACTTTAGAGGAGCAACGTTTTAAATGCTGATCATAGGGGTTAAAGGTCAATCACATGCATCAAAAGCTGACACACCATAATGGGAAAAATCTCGGACATAACATACCACCAAATTCCTGCTGCAGTGAGGAAACCAGCATACTTACACATACTTCAAAATGTACAAAGTACCATATGAGCTAGATAGAATCCTCTGTACTTTCACTTTGATATGTTTGAACCTTCTCTTTGCTTGCAAAGTTTACAGCACAGCTCAACCTGAGCAGCTGCTGCTTCTCCATCCATTTCAATTGAATGTCGTCAACATTTGAAAAAGGCAGTCCAGTCAGAAGACTGGAAGTCAAAGAAAGAGCTTCACACCAAACAGAGATATCCATTAAAGACATTTGCCTTTGCTGGATATTCATCATTCTGAAGTGAAGCTCTTCATGTTTTTTCTAATTTAAGTCTACAACATCCACTTTAAAAACACCATCCATCTCTTTGTAAAGGAACGTTTCCAATACGATGCCACATACACATTAAAAAGTGAGTGTCACCCAAAACGCTGAACCTTTGGTCCACAACTCCTTATAAAAATACTATAAAATGTTTCTGAATGCCGTTTTTTTTGTTTTTTTTCAATACCATTCCGTATAAATATGGAAAAAAAATCTATTCTACTGTGCAAGTGATAGAAACACATACGTTTTTGACACTGAGGACAGGGGAGGTATCTTTTTGTACAAATTGCAGAAATTCATTTAATGAAAAAGCACTCCCACCTCGTTTCACAAAAACCATTTATAGCATTGACCTTGAGTGAAATGTATAGAAATGCATCATGATGATAAAAATGAAAGATGGGGTGAAGGAGCATAGAAACGCTTGCTACCGCTCCGGTCATCTTAGATGTGGCATGTACAAAATCTCATCATCCAGAGCACCTCATTGTCCACGCTTTACAAAAAGAAGACACGTCTTAATAGTTCGTATGTGTTGGCACATAAGCACTGGCACTCTGGTCACTCACCTTAAGAAGCTTTGTCCCATTTAAATCAAGGTAGATCTTGTAAGGAATGGCAATTGGGTGAGTTTTAGTGAGGAAAGGGGAGTCAAAAAGTGCCACATATACTATTAGTCCAAGCTGCCCCATTGATGCAATACATAGAAACAAATAGGCTTGTAGAGATCTGTGTGTGTGTGTCTGCACATGTGTGTTCTGCAATTTGTTAGAGTCACTAAATGTAAAACGTGTGACTAGCAGAGGGGTTTGCTGTAGGTCAATGTACTGCATCACAATGTATAGTTTTGTACAAGGAAACATCTTTAAAATGACCCTAATCTCCATGTGCGGTTATTTACAGAGATGGGGTGGCAGGACCATGTGATAGAAGAAAACGGTCCAAGAGCAAGATGAGAATTGCTGGAAGAGAAAGGATCACTCGGCATCCCCTAAGCTCCTCTTCTTCATCGTGTCTTCAAAGTGCTCTTCTTGTCTTTTTGTCTGTTTTCTCTTGATTGTGGCTCTCGCTGTTGTTTTTATTGGAGCATAAACATTGCAGACAGAAGATCTTCTTAGATGTGTATGAATATCGCTGTGCATGTGTTGCATGTATTGCTGTGAACCGTACAATATGCGATGCTGCTAACTGCTGGGTGTTTTATCAACTCAGAAAATTAGCCGAATACCATGCAGTGGTTAGGATGAAAACAGAAAACAGATTCTTAGGTGTTTATGTATAGATATGAGGGCATTTTTTGAAAATTTCAAAGATTTTTTTTATGTTTCTGTGTAATAAGTACTGCTCCTGTAAAAAGCAAATCCAAAAAGCTTGTATACCACTTTCTCACACATGAGTCTGCATTCGTTGTGTGTGTCTCTGCGAATAGTCAGAAGGTGGAGATGAGTATGAGAAGCGAGTGGAGCTTCCATACTTTCCCAGCCCTGTTTCAGGACTTTGTGGTCCTGGTCCTGGTCCTGGTCCTGGTCCTGGTCCTGGTCCTGGTCCTGGCCCCGGTCCTGGACCTGGCCCTGTCCCTTGTCCCGTTGGGTACATCTCATAGGCTGGCCCTTCCTCTATGGGTGGAGCAAAGCCCATGCGGTAGCTGGGATACTGGGAAGGGTATCCGTAGTTGTCATAAGCCAGTTGGGTGGTGCTGTCCAGCAGGCCACAGTCTCCAGGGTATTCTCCGGGTGACTGAAGAGCTGGATTAGCAGGGGCTTGCTGGCTTTGTGCTGCCCTGGAGAATGTGTTGAATTGGGCATAAGTAGAATGGGACATCCTGGATGGTGGACGGGGGTCGTAGCAGCCAGCTCTTGAGCCCGGCACCGCACTGGGGGGAACTGCACCGCTGGCAGACGCAGAGGGTCCGCTGGAAGTCGCTCCTGCTGGTCCGCTGCTTGGGTTTGGAGAGCGAAACTCTCCCTGGTAGTGGACGACCCGGGACTGGGGGCGCGCCTCGTCATGGGTTGTAGCACGGACATTGTAGTAGCCATTGGTTGGATCCTGTGATCAGAAAAAGAATATAGATTTTTCAGTAAATCCTAATATTTCTCTCTCTTCATATACGATCTGTTCTGTGCTTGTGTTAGCTTAGTTTACACTTTGTTTCTATTACAAAAACTGTCTCTTTTGTATAGAGTGTATAAAAAAGCCAGCTTAGATTTTTCTTTGAATCCATTGGAGTCGCCCTACCCCCAACCCCCACCCCTCATCTGCTGGCCAATGGTATATAATCCAGGTTTAAGACATGTATGCGTCTTTTAAATATAATCTATTCTTAGTAAGGCATTAATGTTTTTTATAGACTACTAAAGGGTTAGTATGCCAAGCAAGTGGTGAATATTTTTACCACTTGTTTGGGATAGGCCTATGTATTTTATATTACACTGTTGCTACAAAACAAATCAAAAGGAAAAAAGTATAATAATCTAAAAATAAAAGTTATATTAGAGTTCTACAAATCTTGCATTATGTTGTCTTATATTGCTGAAATTGTAGAATGTCACAAGATATGCATGGTGATAATGGTGGTGTGCTGTTGTTTCATGCATACACACAAAAATGTAATGATATGAGTAATGCAGCACTGTGTATGTGTAATAGAAATTCATTATTAAATACCAAAATATTACCAAAGACAGATATGTACTCTAATTACATTTACATATAAAGGGTTACGTCCAAATATTTAATATTTTTTATTTCTTGACAAAACTGCTGGGAAAGACCAAAACCACCAAGGCCAGGACTATTTACAAAGATTTGTTTCTACACAGGCTCTTTGCATTTGGTAGTATGGACTAAAATTCAAAGCAGTGTTTTTGACTTTGACTCTTCTTTGAACTTGCACCTCCTCATCTAGGATTGAAATCAATATGAATTCCTCCAAGCAACCACTGTCTGCCATGCCCACAACAAGCCGAATATGCCAAAAAAGGCTCTAACTTACAGTACGGTGTAAAGATTGTATAGAAACAATGAAAAACTCTGCTAACACTGAAACGCTCGATATCAAACCTGAAACTTCAGCATCCTGTGGGGTTTCTATGCCAGGACACTCACACTCAAAAAAAAGGCACTACAGAAAAAGTTGCTTTAACTGTGATGTAAAGCCAGGACCTGAAGAACATGATCACAAATCTCATGCACCACGCCAAATGTCCAGCGATGCTCTAGATAAGTGTTTTTTTATTTATTTTAATCCAGCGCGAGCATGCCAACATATCTTCGCTGACTCATCTCACCTTGAGCTCGTACTCCTCCCGGGTGTCACTCTCGCTTCTGACGTCCTGCTTCAGGTCCATGTCATCTTTGAATGGCTGAGTGGAGGGAGAGAGGGAAACAGAGGGCAGAAACTAAACCATCAAACAACGAAACACACACACGGAAAGAGGGAGGGTGAAAAAGGAAAGGAGGAAGAAGAGAGGGAGGGGAGAGGAAAACAGAGTTTCAGGTTTTGAATCCCAAGAGACCGGAAGACGAGAAACTGTTAGTTGTTGGAGAAAAAGGTGTTTTTGCCCGAGCTTTAAAACCGCGTCAGAGGAGCTGCGTCGATTAGATTCTCCAGGACTTCCGGGGTTGAATTCTCCTCTAAAAGGGACAAAATGTTAAAATGAGTGTGTGTCTGTATATTTGTTTATTATTTCTGTGTTTTTTGTGTGCACAAATATGTGTGCATTGAGGAAAAACGGTGTATTTTTCCCCCAGTTAGTTTTTCTCCTGTATCTATGCGTGAATGTCTTGTCCTTGTTTCTCCTCATATGTGTGTGTACACATGCTTCATTGTGCTTTATTGATTTTGAGTCAAGTGTGTGCGCGCATATATTTTGACATCTTTTTTATGGATTTGTGTTTTTAGTGTGTCTTTAGTGAGGCCTTGTGCGTGTGTCTTTGTTCCCATTGTGTGATTGTGAGAATGTCTGTGTGTGCCTCTCCTGCCAAGTCGCCTTTAGTGTCAGTGTATCTGTACATTTAAGGCCATTGACCCATACGCCTCCTCTCCACGGCCCCCGGTGACTCAGATGGGAGTTTACTCACAGAGTACATAGCCTTGACCATCCGGGTTGCTGTGGAGACGTTGGCCGCCTCCTCCTCCAGGCTGTGGGTTTCTTTGTTCACCGTTTCTACCTTGATGTCTGGTTTACCGAGGGTGACACCCCTTCGACCTGGAAGAAAAACACAACCGCCGGTTATAATGTGTGGTAATGTTAAGATAAATGATTGACTTCTTTTTCAGTCTAGCTAGAAAAGTAGCAAGAAAAGAAAACTTCAGCATTATTTTTTGTTTTAAATTTGTTCAGCTTGCCTGGTTCATTATTTGCCTTGGCATGCTGACAGCCTTAAAAGAAATGAAAAATATCACAACATGAACTCTAAAGATATGACAGTGAAAGAATATGCTAAAATATCTCCACTCTACTTGGGCAATAATTTCTTTATCAGGGGTTGTTTTGATTAAAATTTATAAGAAAGATAAATATCGTTTCAGCAGATGTCTCTGTCTGCAAATCCAAGGATGATTCATTATTTGCTTTGTTGTCTTTTATAGACAAACTTCTCAGTTTTAACCACCTTTGTCCTTTCCTTGTAGGTGCGATATTAGTTTTTTCTTATTTGTTTATGTGGTTATCATTTTGTATTCTGTGTCTATATGTATTCTTTCATAGTTTGTGTATCTTGGTATACTGTCGTTTTTAATACATCTGCTTGGCTGGACTTTGTATTTTGGGTCGGCTACTGTTTCGTACGGTGGCCCTGAGAGGCCAAACGGACTGCAACTTAAGAAAACACCAGCAATAAGAAAAACGCTGCGAAAGCACACAAAACACAACGGAAATAGGACAAACGACGACGGGAATAGGAAAAAACTGATTTCCAAAATCACAAGGGAAGTGTTTCTGGGGAGACAATAACCTGATGGACCAGTTGCAGGAACCCAAAACGATTCATATAATACTTATGACGGATTTTTAGGCTAATAGTTAGGCTAACACACTTACCTCTCATCTTTTCTTTCCTCACAAAACCGATAGATCGTCCACTTCTTTTAAGTGTCTCCCAGCGCAATTAGCATATTTTGGCTCCTGCAACTGGTCCGTCGGGTTATTGTCTCCCCAGAAACACTTCCCTTGAGCTTTTGGAAATCTGTTTTTTTCCTATTTCCGTTTTGTTTTGTGTGCTTTTGCAGTGTTTTTCTTATTGCTGGTGTTTTCTTAAGTTGCAGTCCGTTTGGCCTCTCAGGGCCACCGTAGTTTCGTGTTTCTGACTTCAGCAGCTTAGTTTTCTAAAAGTAGACGCTGTGGAAGTGTCTGCAATTTTTATTTTAAAAAAGCCTTCAGAACAAATAGCATACCATGTGAAAGAATCTAATTTTTTTTAGCCAGTTTTCTCAAAAACAAGCAGCTCCACAAGTGGATTTGAAATAAAAACAAAATGATGACGTCCTTTACCTGTAGACTTTCAGCTTCACTGTAGGAATGACAGTCATTTATTAAATATTTTTCCATTTATATGGCTCAAAAGTAATTGGACAAACTGTCATAATTTTAAATGTTGGGAAAGTTTTTAATACTTGGATGAGATTCTTTTGCAGTCAATGAATGCCTGAAGTCTCAGCCCTGAGTTATGTTTCCTTCCTGCAGCCGTTTCAGTCTCAGTTGCTGCTCATTTTTGGGTCATTCTGCATTCCTTTTTTACAGTTTTAATAAATGAGAAGCTGCTCTGTTGAGTTGAGATCAGGTGACTGTCTTGGCCACTCCACAATATCAATTTTTTTTACTTTGAGAAACTCTTTTGCAGCATGCTTTGGCTCAGTATCCATTTGCACAGGCCTGTGCTATAACATTACTATAATATTATTATAACATCCGTGTGCTCTTTCTCTCCTCCATACGTTTCTATTAAACCCTTCAAATTAAAGCTGGAAAACCTAAACCCCACCTTTCCAACACATTTTGTGAATTTAAACTTGGTAAAAGTCAACCTAAAATGTTGATATTAAATATACTTACTGTGTGCAAATGGCTTTATTGAGCTAGGATAAGGCAGTCTTGTCTATAACTGCAAACATGTAAATATTAGGGCAATAAAAGAAGTGTATTTCTATACTGTCTCGTGCAACTTAAAATGCTCAACTCAACATGCTTCAGTCGCAAAGCAGTCAACATTTGTCAGCACAAACAACTCACTTCCACAGCCAGAAACCTTAAAAGTAGAGATTTAAATCTGTGAAGTGTCGCGCTGCATCGTAGACGACAAATGAAAGACTGTTTATCTGGAGCCACAAAGATGTTTGTTTGAGTTTCTATTTCCAAACGGTGTCTTTTCTGTAGAGGTGTTATCAGCTCTGAACCAGAAAAAAATACACTCTTATCCACAGAAAATCCCTCTGGGGACTCTGCCAGTCACCTTCACTGTCTTTCCCACTTCTTTATTTGAGATGGAGCAGCTCAAAATTAAACAACTAAGAGACGCCGCTTGTTTTCAGCTCCCCGTTTAACAGAAGCGTGATTTGTGTTCATAAATACTAATTGGATTGCTGCAGGCTGTAGAAATAACATATAGGAATTCATAATTTAAATACTATTCACCTCTGAATGCTCTTGTTTTCTGCTCTGTTGTTTATGTACTTTATCTAGCATAGAAGCAGCTTATAAATATAAGTCAAAAGAATTAAAAGGGAAATGTACAGTAGGCGTTTTAAGGCAGTTTGCCATATTATATGAATATTCATTAATATCGCTTGCTATATGGCTGGCAAGTGTCCCTTTTTTCCAGGAAAAGCAGAATGACAGTTGTAGAGAGTGGATAAAAGAAAGACTGATAGACACACACACACACAATATAAGTGTGTGCATGCCCCTACACAAACACATTAGAGAGCGACTGTGTGCACTCACTGCCTTTGCGTTGGCGGTACAGGAAGAAGGCGAGCGCCAGTAGAAAAATAAGCAGCAGAAACGAGGAGCCCACCGTGCCACCAGCGATAATTCCCACTGGAACAATATCTGAAACAAACACATGCAGAAAAAGGGTATGGGGTTGAGGGACAGCTGCTGCCTCATTGTTACAGAAACCTGCGCGGATGCAGCGTCGTTTAAGCACAAATCCACTGGTGTTCTAGCTTAATATTGAATCTCTGAGGGCTGCTTCTGTTGATAAGGCGCAGAAGCAGCACCAGTCAGACAAGGAATGAAATGCTTTAAGTGAACATGTGAGGGGAAAATCCAGGCTCCGTCTCTTTTTCTCGCTTTCAAAGATGTTTGGGAGATTTTCTGAAGCTGGCGAAATCTGACAGTTGAAACAATAACAGTTTGACAGAGCATGGAGAAGCCATTTTCTCAATGTAATGTGGCATACCAAGCTCTGGCAATAAAATATGTAACCATCCAGAATGGACTAACAACACTATCTATCTGTTCTCTGGCTGAGGCCACAGCTTAATAATCTTGTTCAAGGGCATTTGAGCTTGTAAGGAAGAGAAGAACATCTTGTTCGGGGACATTAAGTTCCCCGTCTGATTTTTTTTTTCTGTAAACAAATTCAGCGCTTAAAAACTCAGCTGTTTGCCTTCATCACAAAACAAACGACAAAGCACACAACCAACCGTCATCAAATTTGGAATTAAGTTTCTTAATTCTTATGATGACGATTACGTGATATTGCCTTTCTTCAGTTGAGCCACACACATAGATGAGTGAGGAGCATCTAGAAATGAAGAGATATAGAGATTTTTAATATGAAACATCCAGTTGATATTTCATTCTTTATATTAATATTTTGCTGATGTAAATTCCTGTTGCGCATCACAAAAAGCTCACCCAGAAAAAAATTTTCTTCATGGTATTTAAAGCCCAACAAATTAATTTAACACCTTCCTAATAAATTATTTCCAAAGCCAATTTTTTTGAAAAATTGGAAAGCTGGAGTATTTCTCACAAAGTTTGCCACATCCGAATGATTTATACAGAAACGCCACACCTGGAACCCAACAATGAGAACTTTGCAACTCATAAATTTAACTACAGTTAAAGCGTTTTGCATTCACAAAAGGCTTCCCTCAGAAAAGTCCAGTGTAATGTTAACATCCATGGTTGCTACATATAATCTTTGTCTTCTTCTATGCTTTTGCTTTATGTATGTAAACTTCCACAATGCAGTAGCCAAACAGAAAACATAATTCTAGCATTAAACTAGGAAGGCAAGAGGGGTTTTGTGCTTCTGCCAGTGGAGTAGTTGTGTATCTATGTGTTTGAAAAGGCAAGAACAGCAGCTCATGAAAATTAGATACACATTTATGATATATTTGATAAATATTTTAATTCTGTTTACTAACATATTTACTACTACTTACTGCAATCTGCATTGATCACGCTCAAAATTGATCAAGCTTCATCTGTGCTTTAAAGTTGAACAAGTTATAAAAAACAAAAAACCTAAAACCCTAACTTCAACACAGTCTCTCCATAATGATGCATTATAATTCCATTATGCTAATATTTGAATTGATAATAGCAAGTAAAGATGACTGTAGTTTATTTTCTGTAATGTGTACATGTGAGGAGTACTCAGCATGACCACCATGTTCAACATATGTTTCCCTTCCCCCCCTTCATACCCTTCTCCTCCAGTGTGATAATCATGGTGCCAGGTCCGAAGGAGTTCCAGGCAGTGCAGTTGTACGGGGAGTGGAAGTCTGACTCCATGACATTGTTGATGGTCAGGGTGGAGAGAACAGCCCCGCCTTGAGATGGAGGTTTACTCTGCTCCACTGTGTACCTCTCCATTAGTGTGCCTTTCTCTTTTTCCCAGACGTTTTCCTTCCACGCCCAAACCTGTAACAAAGATACCAAAGGCCTGACTTCTAAACCTGACAGAGAAGAGGCCAAGGCTATCACACACAGCTGGTAAAATAAATTTTAAGATGTCAGTAAAACATTTTGTAGTTTGCATTTGTTCTGTTTCTTCAAAGCCTCTAAAAAAGCTGCCCAAGTGTACTTCAGTTTTAGATTAAGTTAAGAATAAAGACTTGATATATCTGTAAATATATAAATATGTGCCTAATCAACACATCTCCTCCAAGCTGTATTAATGTGATGCTGATCTAATCGCCAGCATCTGTAATTTGTTTGATTTTTATCTAAACTCCAACATTTTCTGCTGCAATCATCCACTTTAACCTCAGGGATCAATAATGCTGATTTCACTTTTTCACGATAGCCTCACATCAAGGGACGCACACACACACACACACACACACACACACACACACACACACACACACACGAGCAACAGATGGGCTGTTGTTAAGACGTGTTAAAAGAGACAAAAGCGAGGAAATACATTTTAAGATCGAAAGATTATATTTTCACACCTTGGTAACTGGTACACTATTCCCCAATTAAAATGTGTGCGCAGAGTTTTCTGAGTGGGTGAGAAAACAGTTCTGCTTAAAAAGAAGAGACACACACAGTGCAGCAAGTGTACACGAGAGGTAAAAACTCGAGCAGGTTTTTCTACTTAAAATCTGCTGAGGTGGAATTCCCAGGGTATTAAATATAGAGCATGACAATATCAAATATACATACACCCAAATGTTGGGCTAATGTACCTCTTAACCTGGCTTGAAAAAATAAAAAGGCGAATGTCTTTAAAGACTCAACCAGGGACGTTTTTTGCAGAACGCTTCGTTTTCTTCACTCTCTCTCTTTAATCGCACTTCCTCACAATAATTATGTTGCACCACCTTTGTCTGCATCTCTGTCCCTCTTTCTCCGTACACACACACACTGCCCACACTTTTTCACACACACACACACACACACACACACACACACACACACACACACACACACACACACACACTTCATATTTTATGAGTCCCTGTGTCTCTGCATTAAGCCTAGACTATAATGTCATATCACATTATACGCTCTGAGCTCTCTGCCAATGCAGCAGGGGGCTGAAGCTTTCTAAAAGCTCTGATTTCTGTCATGTCGGCGCTGCACAATTGGATAATTGACGCTGAAAGGTACAAAATTTTACTCTCCCTCCATCTCTCTCCTTCTCATTTCGATCTACTTCACCCCCACTCTCTCTGACTCATTCTAGCCTTCAAACTCAAATGGTGTAAGTGGCTTTATTTCAGTTCTTTTTGCTTCTTTTTGTGATATGAGTGCATACTGGTCATCGTATTCTTTTTGAAATTTTATATAAAATGCCAAACCACTTATATTTTAACTTATATAAACCTCACTTTAAATTAAATTTGAGTTTGGTCAGGCATTGCTCTCAGTTACCTTAGGAGAAAAACAGCACACACAGCTGGTATGGCAAATTCAGGCAGATACTCAATTATAGTTTTCTGGAAAGGCAATCTGAGAGAAAGCTTTCTTTAAAAGAAATGATGGTGCTTACTTTGAAAAGGACTTAACTGAGCTTCGGGTGCACAGCCTGATGCTGATTGTCTTTATGTGAGGGTTTGAAATTTATGTGATTATGGTATTTCTAAGTCATACTGATGGTATTTCGTAAGAAAACTGAGTCAGTCTTTAGGAAAAATAGCCTGAAAGTGTTCATTTCACGAATCGCAGTCCTACATCTTTACAAAGTCACACCTGAGCTCAAAGGAAGACCTTTAACCCACACACAGCACTGGAGGAGGTGTGGGTTGTGTAATGCCTTACTCAAGGGTAACTGTATAAAAGCTGATACAAGATTCAAATCTTTCAGCAACACATTTCTGTAACCTTCCAATCAGGTGATAACCAGCTCTGAGTAATGATACATATGAGGGGGTCACAATATAATATCTGCATATGGATAATGTAGAATCTGTAGGAAAGGAGCACAGCATATGGTGACAGGTGGTGACTGGTTTCTATCTGTAGTCCACTTGAAGTACATGTGTTATTAACCAGTCATGTTTACGTTTAAATAAATGCACCATTTTATTTATATATTTACAATTTTGCTCTGAATTCACAAATAATGAATATCTCGATAGCTGTTATCAGGTTACTAGAGCCATCGGTCGGATATCCTGAAAACACTCACAGGCTCAAACTTTTAGCTGGTTAAGGCTAAGTAGATAAACTACCATATGAATACTTCAAGGTGAATATATCATAAATAAATTAAATTTTTGCCAAAAGAAATCTATACCTACTTTAGTTTTTTTTTTCCTTAATTGCAGATCACTTTTTACTCCTGTGTTGAAAAACGAGTCTTACATCATAAGAAGAGGAAGGGATGATCAATACTTTGATTGATCCTGATATAACTAAACTACACCAAAGGTTGTAGACAGTGAAATAAATCTGAAACCAACACTTGGCTGTCTTTGTAATGTGATTGATTCCATCACTGTGAAACTTGTCATGTTTACAGTCGATTCCCAAAATAGAGGTACAAGCATCACTGCATCCCTGAAAGATGGTGGAGGATTCGGAGGAGATGATTCATTTAAAGACACTTCAACATTTCTTTTATAATTTCATTTTTTTTCCCACATATTTGACTTTAAGAGAGCAGTAAACATGCATGTATGGTAGATATTGCAGGATTACACATTGATGTGAGCTTGGTCTTTTATTTGTAACAGCTAAAGACTTCCTGAAAGTTGACATATACACGTGCATCCACTGACTGAATGTATTTTTTCACTGGTGAAATAGTGGTAATTTGAGTGTCCTACAAAACCTGTGTGGTGACATTTAAAGGCTTGTAGAAACAGCTTTGTCAATAATAGAAAAATATGTCGTAGCTATTTTGTGATGGTGTGAGAGTTACAGCCAATTTCATACCTGCCTGTCATACACCAATTTGTTGTAAATTGTAAAAACTGCAGGCACGTTTAGCTGTGATTTATTACTTGGATCGTTTAATATGTTTTTGAACATTAAAGTCACAGTGATTTCCACTTTTTAATCACTTTTACTTTTCAATAAAAAAGACTTAAAATGTGCAACTCACCGCAAGCCATTCAAACACAAAACCTTTACAAATACTTTAGTAACATGTAACGTGTGGCGTCAATCGAAGCTGAATCTAATCTACTGCACTCCAACATCTCACTGGATCACGCTGCACAGTTTAGTGTGTGTGTGTCCTCTTTCTTTTCAGCCAAACACTACAGCAGCTGTTTTTGATGAGTCACACCTTCCACCACAGAGGAGGAACAGATTGTTCTCCCGTAATCATTGGAGAACAGTCGCTTTCTCACAGTCTGTGTGACACAGGCTGGTGAGAGAAAGTAAAAATCATTTTGTTTTCGGGGTGGACGAGGCGTTGCGATCACGATTCTGTGTGAGGCAGATGCAATCTGAAAAGGTCAAGCACCTCTGCAGAAGATTACAACTTCCAAGGATGGACTTACAATCTTATCAGGTGGAGGGGTGCTGGCGATGTAACATTTGATCTCCCCTCTCTCCCCTCTGACAGCGTACTGAACCGGATCACTGGAGATGATAGGGGGGCCTGAACGGGTGAGATAGCACAAGGCAAAGAGAGAGAGAGAGGGATACATGCACAGAGAGGAGGATTACTACAATGAAGAAAAACTGTCATTCATAAAAAAAAAAATCATATTCATTTGTAGAATTAAGAGAGAACCCCAAAAAGCAAATGAGAATTTTTTTTTCTTATATAGTGTCTGCTATTAGAGGACATTGTTTGGCACAAATAATTGCTTTATTAAGGAAAGAAGAGGTGTATTCTCTAGTATTAATACATCCCATAGACAGTTCTTCAACCTCTATACCTCTATATTTCAGACTGCATTGATAATAGTGTTTCCTAACTCTGGCTATGTGCTCGAAGATTGTACACAAAGAGTTTTAAAAAAGGCCAAGAAAAGCTGAAAGATGCATTCAGAGCTTGGTCATGCAGAAAATCTGTGAAATGTCTGTTGCAGGTGGGTAATTTTAATGGTAACAACAACTCTGAGCAAGTTGCAGAAAGATTTTGCTGTTATCTACTGCTTTTCACAAAAACACTCTGAGCAAAGTCACTGAAAACCTGCTCGCTGCAATACTGTCACTCTCTATCACAGTGAATGAAAGACTGTTAACACAGCAACCGCACTGCAGTGCTCTCCTTTTCAGTAATGAAACCGGGCTAATAAAAGTAACACGCATGTAACGGCGCTTGCATAGCCCACCATCACTCTGTATGAGAAATAAAAATAAATCAGAGTGGAAAATAAAGTTAATGTGAGGAAAATATTTAAAGCTGCTTTTAGCACTGACCTCTGTATTGATTCACAAGTTGAAAATAACATCCAGTCATCTTATTTTCAATTGTCATGCATGGATTTAATTACTGTGTTTCTGGACTTGACTGCAGTGGTTTTAATCATCAGTTCGAGCTCTCGCAACTGAATCCAGCCGAGAAAAAATCTCTGCTGATCTGGTATTAAAAAAAATGATCACATTACTCCAGTGCTGGCAAATTTGCGCTGACTGCCTGTTAAATTCTCTATTGATTTTAAAATTTTATTAATTTCTTTAAAGAATTAAACGGCCTTGCTCTGAAGTATATCAAAGACCTATTAACACCATATATGTCTCTAAATTTCTGTAGATTGGAGAAAGAGGCTCTGCTGTTTTGTAAAAGGAGCGTTTGCCATTCGAGCTGCCCGTGGATGATAACTTTTTAGTGTCTTTCATCTCTCTCTGTTCTTTGTTATTTCTCTTTTCTGCCATTTTGTTGCTATTTTGAACTCATTTAGGTTATTTTTATGTAAATATTATATTTGTATTATAAAGCATATTTAATCTGACACATTATCTGACACATGCAATCGTCAGATAAAGTGTGATGCTGAACTATGAAACCAAAGCTGGTGTGCTATACAGTAACCGTGCTCTGCAGAAGTATAAATAGCTCCACTAAAACAATGCATCATGCTTTGCAGTGAGTCATGGGAACGAGGTGGATGGTACAAATACTTTACTGTGTTCACACTAAGTGTCTGATTAGTGAATGAGTGCCAAAATAATCACCAGATCATTAATAAAATGAAAAAAGCTTTTAGCTTTTCATTTGCAAGGACATGCCAGTGATTTTCTTTGCTTGTTTGATCAGGAACTTGGCTATTTAGTGAAGATTTAAGGGGCATTTGTGAACTCTCTTTTTATCACTGTGTTCTTGGTGAATCAGTTTTGATTTATTAAGTACCTGCTGGCCGCTCTGTGAGATTTTGAAATATTGGGTTTTGGCCTGTTCATGACTGAAAAATTAGCTGATTAGATCATTTGGGTCAGGCCGGAATAAATCAGGTCGGGTCGACAGGCCCATACAGTACTGTGCTCCATTCACTCAGTCTCTTCAGCTGTCAGAGCGATTCAGATAGATGCATGCTTACATTTAACACTAGATCAAATAAACACATCCTGCAGGTCTGTGTGGTTTCATTATGCCTTGTTTATTAAGAATTAGGGCTTTGCTTTGTGTAGGGAGATCTCTTTACAAATGTTGAGAGTTTTGCTAATATCGACACTTTAATTGATAATGCAGAGTAAGTGAAGATTAACTGACCGTTGACAGTGAGCGTAACCTCGGTCTCTCCCACGCCAATTCGGGGCACGATGGCCTTGCAGACATACTGGCCTGCATCAGCCTGGCTCACTGACTTCAGATGCAGTTGGTTGTTGTTGCTTAGCACCTGGACGTACACACACAGGTAGGGAAAAAAAACAGGCTGATGAAGAGGAAAAGAACAGAGATAAGCAGACTGGAGAGATGTTGAAAAAGGAGGTTGGAGGGAGGATTATCTATTTTTAATTCATATAGCATGTTGATTTACTTGGAGGGCACCATTAGTTTTTTTTCCCCTCAAGCTCTTTTTAACTTGTTAGCTAAAAATTAAAAATTTAAGATATGAAGATGGCTTTACAACTGAGCAAACATTAACAAAATCTAGGTCCTTAATATAGATGTGCTTATATATTATATGATTAGGACTACAACTACATTAGCTGTTCTCACTTTATAGTCTATATATTTCAGTAATTAATAAGTATTTATAGAAATAATACTTTAATCCATCATGAATGGGTGATCTTAGATTTAAGTTCAAAGGTAACAATGTCTTTTTACCATGCTGGAACCCTTTTTAGTCCAGGTGAGAGTGAGAGGAGGGTTTCCAGACCACTTGCAGTTCAGAGTGACGTCTGCGTCCACATCCACTGTAACCGGCCTGGGCTCCACTACCAGTATGGGGCCAACTGAAAGAAAATAGCAATCCGATCACCAAATGAGCAACAAAAGGGTTCCTACCAAAGTCAAAGTCAAATTTATTTATATAGCTCCTTTCATACAAAGCAATTCAATGTGCTTTACAAAGACAAAAAGCAAAAAGCATTAGGGCAAAACAAAAATACAATAATTACACTTATATTTTATGTAAAAGGTACAATAACAAAATAGTTTTTAATCCGAATTTCAAAAAACTAATAGATTCTGCACACCGAAGACCAGACAAGCACTTTAAAGCCTATTTACACTGCTTTGGTAGTTTTTGCACAAATTTTAAAATTCCCTTTTTAGTCTTTAAGGTTTACAAGTCTACATGCCCTTGCATCAGACGGCCTCTGAAAATGCTATTGTTTTATGAACTGGGAATGCCCCGCAGAGTCTCCGGTTCTTCTCTTTTATCTGTTCCTCAAAGCAAAACAACAAACATGTAGTGATGCTTTCAGCCATTACACTTCAAGCCACAGCATTACAGGAAGGGCAGAAGGAGCCCATTAGTACTATTATTAATGGCAGTAGTAAAATTAGTAGTAGTAGGAGGAGTATCCACTTTTGCTGTTTTAATAGAATAAAGATTTTTATGTAAATGTATTGAAAATTTTAATTATTACATTTTTTTTGTCAAACTTATTATTTTAGCTATTTTTATGATTTTCAGCAGTCGTCTACACTTTATATTGTATAGAACACATTATATACAATATACAGTACTACAACAATATAAAGTTTATTATTGTGTTTCTCTTTATCATAAAGCATCTTGAGGTGGCTGTTGAGTTGATCTGGTGCTACATAAATAAAATTGAGTTGATTTTCATTTGATTCGTTTAAAAAAAAACATGCGATTACAAAGAAGTTTTATTACAGCAGAATTCAGAATTCTGTTCATTTCACTATCATAAAGGAAGACATTTTTGTGCAACATTTTTCTCTTTTTCTCCTTTTTCACTGCAATCTTTTTATGAATATGTCCTTAACTATGAAGAACACATTGCTTCTTTCATATTTTGATTATTTACCTAATTCATTTAACTGTCTTGTTAAACTCAGTTTAAACCGAGAGAAAACGCAATAACAGCCTATTGGGAATTTACTCATTGCGCAATACACGAATGGTGTATGGTAACAATATAAATGCAGCATGTTTTTTTAGACAAATAAAGAGCACAAAGCGCATTCATGTCATCAGAATCCCACTCAGCTAAGAAGTGTTTGCACTCTACTCACAGTGCACGTCCACAAGGATGCTGACGTTAGTGCTTCCCACGGCGTTAAACACCTGACAGGACACGGGCTCGGTGAAGAATGAGTGATCTGCGGTGGTGACAAACACGCTTTCTCTGGCTCCCTCCAGCAGCACGCCACCTTTAGCCCACCTGACAGTGAGACACACAGCACAACACACAGTTCAACATGTTTCTAAGCGTTGTAAATCATTGTTATGTAGACCTCCCAGCGGGATATTTCAAAAGCATAATGGGTTTTTGAGGTTATCTAAATGTTAGATTTTCACCATAAGACAATGATTCTTTTTGTATTATCAATTAAGCTAACATTTACACGACTTTAATACGAAAACCTGAGGGAACGATTGCAAGAAATTTCTCTTCATTTCTGTTATCCGTGCTGTATCTTGCCAGATACCTGACTCAAAATCAAATAACCATATTGCACATCGTCCATTAGATGACATTTAATGTTCACTCAGTAGGCCTAGTGCCTAAGTACCTGGCAGTGTTCCCACACAGGGACCCTCTGTTGGAGTCTCAAACCTCAAATTACAACCATCGTGTTAAACTCCAGCATTTTGCAGTTTTAGTGCTTCAGTGCTGTCACTTACGATAAAAGTCAGCGTTTAGCTGTACAAATGTTCAGTACTTTTATCAATTCTGTTCTCTAAGCAGAAATTGCTATTCAGGAGCAACAGCAGGGAGAGGGTATGAGTGCACTCACACAGATGAAAGAAAACATATTCGCTTTAAACATCTTATCTGCACTGCAGGACGAGCATCAAAAAGTTTCTCATAGCCTGAAGTGAACAAAAACCTGTAAACACGTATTAAAAAAAAACCCATCCAGACCTGTAGCCCATGATAGGAGGGTTGGCAGTGGCCTGGCAGGTAAAGGTAACCCTCTCTCCCTCAAGGACAGAGCGAGGCTCGATGGACAGGGTCACGGTGGGAGGGTCTACACAGGGAGAGATACACGTTTGATATATATTCTAAATGAACTTAACAATAATGTGAACATAAATTGTATTTATAAAATATGCATATAGCAGATGGCAATCCAGAAGTACCTTCAACCTTCATTCTTTTAAATGTTCAACGAGGGACACCTCCTATGGTTGCAAAAGGAACTCTGGTAGTAAAGAAAACTCTGGGTTCCCTTATTCCGAAACCTCAGTGAACACGTTCTGATGAGTTTTTTGTTCTCATTTGAAAGTTTCGGTCCTTAGTGAATATAAAAGTGTGCTCATTTTATATATTACAGTCCCCATTAATATCCAGAAGAACAATAAAGCAGATTATGACTTAGGGTGGGCCTAGCATGTGAAAGACAAGCAGCTACTGAAAGAGCAAGTTTCCCAGATCTGCCCTCTGCTTGAAATTTCTAAAATGCTGATGGAGAAAATGCTTAAAAAGCCAAAGCTTAAAAACACTGGACTCTGCAAATCAGAATTCACAGCGGTGCCTTTATCTTTTATATAGAGATCATGAGTGTGAATAATATAATGACTGCATACTATATGAACAAAAGTACTGGGCCACCTACATATTACAGCCTTGGAAATCTATGCTGTGAAGCGCACGGTGCACAGTTTTTGTGCTGATGTTGCATGAATGCCAGAGGAGGTTTGGAAACCTGCAGTTATTAAGTCAGCAGAGTTTTGGGAATGTGTCTGAGTTTCTATAGTTTCTAAATGCTTTGGAATAACTCATCTCACAGCTGATTTTGGAATATTTAGGACGAACAGTAGCATCCCATTACAGTGCTACACTTAATCTCAGTGAGCTCTTTAGAACAATCCATTCCTTCACAAATGTTTGTGAAAGGCAGGCTGCATGCCTAGGTGTTTGATTTTATACATCTGTGGATATGGGACTTTGATTCATATAACGTCGTTCAAGGAGAAACTTTGGTTACCTATAGACTTCTGCACTGATCCTATATCTTAAGTAAAACAGTTATTAAAGCTACTTTTTCCTTCTTGACAATAACTCCTATGTTCATCACCATAAAAACTTTCTGGCTCACCGGGTGATAAAGTACAGTAGATTCCTGAACTGCTTCGGGCCTCCAAATATGTGCTAAAACAACACAAATCAAGCTAAATCAATTTGGAAGACATCCAGATTTGAGAATGTATTGAACATTACTGACATGTATATTATTTTTTGCTGGTAATTACTTCAAGTTGGTGAGTGCTGGCACAGCTAATTAAAAATATTTACTGATTTTGCAGTCTGTCTGCAAAAAATACTCTCTGCTTCATCACCAGAGCATCTATGTGTGTTTAAAAGTCTTGCAGACAGGAAGAGTAACATACGGTGAACATTGAGGGTTAGGGTGGTTCGTTTCCCCATAGGTACAGCTGGATTGCTGGCCACACAGGTGAAATTGCTGCCACTGTCTGTGTCGACTGGTGTGATGGGCAGGTAGCTCCTGGTCGTAACCCTTTTCCTGTCTGGCAGCACTTCCTGTTTGACAAAGAAAAAGGCAGAGACAGGGCAAGCATTAGCAGGGGAGACGACAGGATAAGAGGAATTTAGGGAGAAGAGCCCACAGAGTAAGATCAAAGAAAAGATACACAGAGGAGAGGAAGGATGAAAAAAGGAGAAATAAAGGTAGAAAGTCAGGTGGGGGAAGGAAAGAGACACTGGTGAGTTACTAATGGAGCCATGAGAGATGAGAAATAATTGAACATAAATAGAAATCCATGGACAAAAATAGAAAAAAAAATATTAAGTATGTGAAGTTAAGAAGGAAAAGAAAGATGTAGGAGAAAAGAATTGATAGATGAATCAATAATGTAAACAGTCCTTAGTGGCAGTCATAAAAGAGACGCCATAAATCTTCTTCTGGCAAACATGAACATAAAATCCAGCTTTCTTGGAATGAGGAGGTGGCATTTTTTAAAACGCAGCCACCAAATCTGTCAAGAAACTGTGTACAGCTTTCAATGTAGTTTAAATGCGTGGTCAGTAACAGGGTAATATAAGAGCAGCATGTAATATGTATGAGCATGTGTGGGGGGCATAAAGCTGGCTGTGATGAGATGTAAAAACATCTGTGTTTGAGTGCGTGAGTCAGTGTTTGCTGCTGCATCTCTGTGCATATAAAAGCGCAAGTGTGCATATGCGAGCGAGTGTCTATGCGTGCGTGCACTTGCAGACCTGCTTTCATGTGTACAGGAGAATATGCGGGATGGCGAGGAATCTGAACATGGAAGAAATGTAACACTGCGACTGTGTGCAAGGTGTCACCAAATACATTTCCTGCCTGTATGTGTGTACAAAAGAAAATCTCTGGCAGTGGGTTAATAAAACATGTCTTGGATCTTTGTGTCTTTTAAGTTGTGTCATGACTGAAAAGCGAGGAATGCAAGAGATGTCTGGAAAGCATGTGTTCTGCTTCCGGGTAGAAGGCATGGCTGACACTCGCAATATAAAGTCTACTGAAGTAAGAGTGTAATTAAACACATGTGTTGAGTAGGTGTGCAAGTGCGACAGTATTTTTTTTTCTAATACAAAAATTACGAAATACCACAAGTACATCTACTTAACCACTAATTTTAATTAGCTGCCCCTGCAGACTCGCTTTAGTGCATCAACTGAATTGTTAAAACACATAAAAATAGAGTCTGTGATATTTTCTAAGACTCACTATGGATGAATGAAGCAATGCATAGCAGCCCAAAGAGGGAAATGCGATGTGCTCTTAGTTTGTTTGTTCTAGTATTAGTTGTTTTTTTACACATTAACAATTTCATCTGCTCAGCAGCAACATGCTGTGTTAACACTGCACATTTTGATGTCTCTCTACAGCTGACAAAGAGCAGGAAATTTAAGACTGAAAGTTTGTCGTGTCCTCTTTTAGCGAGTTTCATGGTTTAATTTTCATTTCAAAATGTAAGAACTTTGCTCTAACTGTGGCTTTCTCAGTGTGAGGGGAAACAGACTTACTGAAAGACATTTCAGTAATGTTTCTGCACCTTTATTGCTGCTACTATAGCCAAAAAAGCCCATTGAAAGTTTCTGTCTGTTGATTTGTAGGTTAAAATCTGTAACCATTAATCATTTCTTAATAAATATGGTGAGTGTATTGTTGACTAAATAGTAAGGAGCGCTTTGTGTGAAATACTAATGATCGGCACACTATTTCTTGACTGGAGGACTTCTGGGAAGCCGCCTGGCCCGAGGTGTGCATACTGTATTTACCCGTCATAACAAGCCTCCAGCAAAAAAAAAAAAAGCATAAAAACAAATAAACAGACAGAGTGGATTATATTACAAAGATTGCATTGTTCTACAGTTTGTATTACATAGTCTTACAGCGACAAGTGAACTCATGATCATCAAAATCATCATTATGTGAGCTTTACAAACTCCCCTTGGAAAAACACACACACACACACACACACGTGTGGCTGCTATTATCTGCATGTGTGCATGGGTGTGTATGAGTCACCGTGGAGTGGTAGGCCCCCTCCGCAGGAAGGCCATTCTTGGTCCACTGGATGTGTGCCGCAGGCTTGGCCCCACGAGTCACACAGGTCAGGTTGTGTGAAGTACCAGCCATCAGCAAGAGCTCAGGGGATCCCTCGACCACTGGGTCCTCAGGTGGGACTGAAGGGGTGATATGCAAATTCATATTTTAAAATGACACATTTATGTAAGTGTGAACACATAAATAAAGAAAAAAACTTTACATATACATATAGTAAACCATAAAAACACATAATACTGTAAAAAAAAACGTTCATACATATCAAAAGACTAGAGGCATGATTTTCATGTGTTTCTTTTTTAGGTATTAATGTCCTATTTAACACAATTAGCTTCTTGGTTAAGCTAACCGTTTAAAGGAGTTGTTCACCCTCAACTAAATGTACATATTTTCCTCATGCATTTCCTCTCCTGTTTAATCTACTGCTTTTTTATGGTTTGAGTTGCCCAGTTCTGGAGATACTAGCTTCACCCAAGTGCCAAAAACAAGCAAACAAACTAAAAATCAGCAGCGATGTCTCTCTCCAGAAAGCATGACCCAGTTACTCATAAAAAAAATCCACAATTTTGTTGTGAGCTGTTTCATAGGAGCTATTTTCTTACCTCTGTCTGCATCCGCCCACCAAAGGAAGGATGCAGCTAGCTAGCTCAGTTAAGGAGGTCGTCTTTAATGTTTACACCCTGTCACACTGTCACTAGAATGAGTTTCTCATCACGAGTAGATGCACGCTACCTTCTGCACAGAGGTATGGTTATTGCATGTAGTTTGGTAGAATAAAATTAGACCTGCATAAAACTTCTAACTGGTTTGTCGCCTTGCTTGGTTATATTTAAGGGAAAGCAACTTCTAGCCAATATCTCTAAAAACGGGCAATTTACCCCAAAACTATCTAAATGGACTAACAGCACAGCACAATGTGAAAATACATACACATTGGGTGAAGTATTTGGCAAAGGTTAAGATGTCCCAGGTTATCAATCAGATTGGCAGCACTATGTGATTGTAAGTAACACCTATTTTCTTAATTATTTACTTTATCATTTACCAAACCTTCTAAATCTTGGTAAGCAAAAAATAGAAATGCTGGTTGCCTAACCTGCAAGTATACAGCTGCAAAAGTCTTTCTTAGTTTGAATTCTTGTGCGTTTATAAAACCAGCACACTGCAGGGACATTTTGAAGCTAATAGGTGAGACCTATGCATTGGTTAATTTGTTTTCATGCAATATTTTGTGTATTAGTGCAAGCTGAACTGAGAATTTTTTTCTGTCAGACATCTTCCTGAAAGGGTTTGGGTAGTGGCAGCTCAGTTGTTTTTAAAGCTACAAAATCTCAAACAGCACATTTGGGATTATAACAAAAGCAAGCTGGCACAGAGGCTTTGTAGAAAGAACAATTTCTGCAATTTCCACTTAAATGTTAAGGATGTGGGAGATTTATATCCTTATGACAAGGTTGGTTTAATGAAAGCAAAAAGGAAACCCAGTACTGAGAGGATTCAATGCATAATTACTTAACTAGTTTGAGGAAAATCAGAAAAATGCACCAGGAGAAGACCCCTGTATCAGTAGCAGCAGGGTACTTACTGAGTACATTGAGCTTAGCCCTCCTGGAGCGCAAGGCGGCCTCTGTGGCCTGACACTCATAGAGAGAGTCATCAGAAAGCTCGGCGTTGGAGATCTCCAAGTTGTACTGGCCGATGTCGAGAGAACGCAGGATACGATACCTGGGCCACGCTGTTGAACAAACCAAGAAAACTTTCAGTTAGAGAGCATATAACTCACACTGTGACTCATTTACTTCGGTCTGTTTTTATTACAGTCACATACTTTTTCATACATAGTGAGCCAACTTCAAGGGAAGACTGATTGTTCTGAAATGATTGTTGAAGTGCAGGAAGAGACATTAAATGCTTCAATTACAGACATGAGTCATCACAGCAATACTGGATTCACTGAATGATGTGTATCTGCTGTTTCTGAGGAGGAAAGTATATATATTTTTAGAAATACTCTGTGATGATTTCCTGTTGTGAAATATTTTGTTTCCACGTCACTTAGAAGAAAACAAGCTGGTATTCGTCACATTTACCCTTTCTTGTGAAATTGTATGTTAAAAGTTGTTGTTAAGCTATCCAAAATCTGAAATTACTAAAAAAGTTTAGTCTGTGCTACAAGTAATAAAATAATAAAAAGAAATGTTGCTAATTTAAAGGTGGCATTCATCTGAATTCAGTAATATTCCTAGATAGATAGTAGGCCTTTCTATCTAGTCTCTTATTTTCTGAAAAGACATGTCACTCTTGAATTTTTTAGGTGATGTTTTGTAGACTGTAGACAAATGTCATTCACCTGTTTTGTCGGGGGGTTGCAGTCAAAAGCTTAAACGTTATGACTATAAATTAAAACTCTGTGTGTGTCTGTAACAGAACATGTGTCACAAAAAACACAGTTTCTCAGTAATATTGGTGAATTAACCATTTAAACTGTAGTTCCTTGAGGTACTTGTCATGCCTTTTATATAAAGACCAGAAACGAAAACCCAAAAACCTCTTCTCCATCTTCTCTCATTCAGTTTTTAATATTATTTCTGTCCTTTGTGTAACTGTGCAACAGAGGACTCAGACCTGATTTGTTCACAGGATAAAGCAAATGTAAAAGCTCTTTTGAAATGGATAAATGCTGAACCCCGATTGTTTTACATCCATCACAGGCAGAGAACAGAGAGCAAGGCGACACGTATTTATGGGAAAGTGTCAAAGCTTTTTATCATAATACACAGATAACATGATTTATTGAAGACCTTTTTTCATTAACCACAGCATCTGGAGATCACAATGATATGATATGCCCTCTACACAAACAACACAAGGGGGGGTAATGAATGCACGAGGACACACGCATAACGGCAGTATAGTAACACAGTTAGCGATAAACAGCTAAATGGTTTTTGTACTAACACTGATCAAACGTGGCCACATATTCAATAACGCCACATCAATTCCTGCAGAATTACGGACTGAGCTGTTCCAATTACAGCACCCTCTTTTTCTCTCTTTGAACCCTCAACTCGCAGACAAAGACATAATTGAGCGTGACATCCCACTAGGGGGCACTCATTGATCCTCCGTGCCCAATCCTAACATGACATCATGGATTCAGATGGCAAAGGCAGGCAAGCAGGCAGGCAGTTGGGGTGCAAGGAGGAAGAAGGAGGTTGGGTGGAGGGGGACAAAAGTATTAGTGGAGATTACATCATCCACTCCAGCACCTCGCAGCATAGCAACCACAGAGGTGAAAGCACCCTGGGGAGAAGGAGAAGAAGGAGGAGGAGGAGGAGAGGAGGAGGAGGTCTAGGATGAACAATAAACTGCCACCACTTATGCCTGCAGGTAGTGAGAAGATGCATGTGTGTTTTGGGTATTTACGTAAACATGATCCACACATGTAGGTGGCTTTACACTGATCATATATTAACTGGATTTAAATTTTATTTATCTGACATTTTACAGGCGCAGCCAGGTGATGTCTAGAAGCTGTTTTGGTCTGTGAATGAACGCAGATCTCCTGCGTATGTGTGGGTGAGCTAACTGCAGGTGAGAATTGCACTGCACAATCTGTACGCCTACACTGTCATCCACAGCTGTATGTAATCATACAGGGCGCATAATAACAACCACTTATACATCATACAGCCAACATCTGCACCTTAATGGATCACCAATGAATTAATAATCTTTGTTGGTGCAAGTGTTTGCAACTTGCAGACTTCATGACATGGCTTCAAGTTCAGGTTATGAGATGAGCAAAAGGCCGAGTGACCGTATGTCATGGCGGGAAGAATGGCAGCCGACGACTAAGCATAAAAGATGGACAGAAAGCGATGATAGATGGTTGAGAAGCAGGAAAAGAGACAAAGAGGACAACATGTTTATCAAATGTGTTTGTCAGCAGGTCCACGCTGTAAAAGGCTACGAGGACAAAGAGAGCATTACCAACAACAAAATGAGAGCGGGAGGAGGAAGGGACGGCGATGGGACCGACAGAGAGGAGAGTGAAGAAATAAAAAGCAATAGAGGGGATCTGGGAAGCCAGCAAGTGATGGTGAAGCTGTAGTTTTAAAGATGAAGGAGCAGGAAATAAAGACAGTGTGAGGGAGAAAGAGAGAGCGAGAGGAGGCGAGAGAGAAGTGCAGACCTTTACTGAACCTGTGAATTAAATTGAGTTGAACACAAGATTCGCATCACATGTCAGATTATCACTTGTGTGACTGTGTGTATGTGTGTGTTTTGTGTCAGTGTGTGTGGGCGGTGTGTGCGTGTCTGTGTGGGTGGATGGGTATGTGGTGTTTTTTGCGTGCTATACAGCATGTAGCGTTCTTTGTAGATGAATTTACAGTGTTATGAGAAATGTGATGGGTGGTTTAGAGCTGAAAGTCTGTGAGTGCTAATGTGATATTTGTAAGTGCTAATACAGAAGTTTTTCTCTTACATTTTGTGAGAAGATGAAATTGCACATTACAGCCAAAAAAAGGCAACATTTTCATGTATAAATAAAAGCTTTCCTAACTATTTATCAATAAATTGTTTAAAATAGCTTGAATGGCAGAATGAATGAAAGCTGTGTAGTTAGTTTTTCTTCCATCTATCCTTTTTCTGTGGATTATGCAGAGTTGGATCAAGGTGGTTGTAGGCTTAGCAGGTAAATTCTAATGTTTCTCTCCTTAAAAACATTTTTCAACCCCTACTGAAGGATTCGGATGTGTCCACAGGTCAGATGAGTTGTATCTTCTGTCTTGGGTCTACCCTTTGTATCACAGGGTCACATACCAGATGGAAAATCAGCTGTGAAAGCATCAGCTGTGAAAGCATCCAGTCAAAGTTGCTAGAATGGTATTAAAATCCTGGGACCGGCTCAACTCGATCCCTTCGCAAAGGAGAACCAAGTCCTCTCAGAGACCCCTCGGTATTTTCAAATATTTCACATTGCATCTAAGAACCTCAGCAGCCTATATTCTTTCAGTCACTACCCAAAACTTGACCCTAGGTGAGGAGACTGACTGGTTAATAGAAAGCTTCACCTTCCAGTTCAACCCCCTTTCCACCAAAGTGCTCTGGTACCATTTTTGTGAAATACTGATCCCTTGATACTTCAGTTGACACATGTATAAAACACATGTAAACTGGAAGAACAATTTTTCCATCACACCTCAGTAACTCTTCCAGCATGAAGAGTTAGTCTAATGTGGTATGGCAGGAGTGAAGCAGGATTAATCCTTAGTCCAGAGTTCAACAGCCAATCAGAACCTCCCTTTGAGCACCATATATGAGCTTAGCCATGGGATGCTGAGCAATTACCTTACAAATTATAGCAGACTCCCTTATTCTGGTATCCTGTTGTACAGACGCTGTCCCCGAGCTCCACACGACATGAAAATGCATCTTCGCCTAGACGGTTTAACAAAGTCCGGAGCTTTCAGACTCTTGTGGAGAATTTAAGAGCTCCTTCACTACTTCTGAAGTTTTGCCTCCTCCACAGAGGATGTGTTAGTGGGATTCAAGAGTTTCTGAAAGTGCTCTTTCCACAGCAAAACAATATCCTCAGCGTGGATTACTGCTAAGCATAGCCTGGGCTAAGACTTGCTTTCCTTTTGCTGAGTAGTCTGAAGGTTTGTCAGAACTTCCCTGGATCAGCTGAAAGTTCTTCTCCACAGACTCCTTCACTCGTCCTGCATTTAAATTTTGGATACACAATCACCACAGCTACAGCACTTTAGACCTGCTGGTATGGTCTGATACATCTTCCAGGCTAACTAGTAGAGATCAGTAATACTACAGACTGCTTAGACCTTATATTTTACACTGCAAGGGTATATTTGCAATACTCCCAAAAGTCTATTCATTTAACATAACATGTGAGTTTGAGAAACTCAAAAATCATAATCACAGAATATTTTTTTTAAACTTATGAAAGTGTCAAAGGTATTTCTTAATTTTTGACACTTGAAAGTTGTCTTACTGCTGAAGCTAACGCATTTCAGTAGGTGCAACTTTACCTTGAAGACACCTTTCGCAATTTCATTATGGCTAAGTGAGCAGTTGGCGAGGTTTCGCAGTCAGCGTTTTCCATAAAAAACTATCTGTGATCACAGCAATCTGCTATAGCGGCAAAAGCAACAAGGATTTTTGTGCAGCACCGAACACGTGTTTATCAGGTATGTTTTTCCATCGACAGCAAAACAACTTTCCACAACGACCAGCTGATTGGGAATACACGTTTTTCCGAAGCTGCCTGTGTTTACCAAGGAGTCTCTGATTGGTCTGTAGTCTGGGGACTGGGGATTTTAGCGATCAATTTCACCGTAACTGCTAGCAAATGACCAGGGAAAAATCATTTTTCACGAGTAGCTAGTGATTTCAAGCCAGTTACCAATTGGTTTGTAAGGATGTATAACTGCAGCCTTAAACAATAAACAATTGATTTCCAATAACTTGAATTGGGTAAGCAGTTAAGAATATGGGTGGATGGAGAAGAGCTTTCATGGACTGTTAGTTAGAATGGAGGTTTTTTAGAAATCATCAGTTTCTTTTTTCTACATGCTGTTTTTTTTCTATACTTCTCAAAAAAGTAATCATCTTATTTGCATTTTTATTTATGTGTTTGTATATTATGTGTAATTGTATAGTTCTCTTTCTTTCCAACACTTTCATTTGTATAAATCAATAATGCACAGCCGATGAAGGTGAAAAGATATGGTAGTTACCTGATTATTGTGTTATATGGATGTTAAATCTGAATACTTGATATGCTGCGCATTCTTAAGTCTATTTCAGTGAGCCTATCAGCTCATTTTCTTCCCTTTTATTTTACCTGAAAGTTATCCTGGACAGAGGTCTATAAGCAGCATTATTCATAAGCAATGCGAGCATTCAGTAAGCCACAGTGGTCAAAAGCTTGTTTGCATATTTTGAAGAAAATCAAGATGAGGTTAGCTGAGAATGACATTTTTTGCTTTTCTTATTCTTCTCCTGGCCTCTCATTCTTTGATTTTGCATTTCTGAGTTTCGTCTGATTATTCCACGTATACAGAAAAAAAAACTGGGTGTCTGTTGTGGCTTTGACCCTTTGACTCTCACTTTTCACTGCTTGTGATGTTTCCTCATCTTTAAAAATGAAGTATATTCTACTGTTGCACTCATAGTAAGTCATTCTGGATGTGTGTGTCGGCTTAAAATGTAAATGTGAATGTGCGTCTGCTTTTGTCAGCAGTGTGAGGGATTTTCTCTAATTCAGCATGATATACAGGACTCCTTTTTGCCCAGATTGTCACTCACACACTCTTAACTCTCTCTCGCATGGTACAGTGTTCATTTCCTTAATGTTAAAAAACCCCTACACTTTTCAACCATAATAGCTTTTGTCAGGGTTCTTACACTCCAAACTGAACCAAAACCGTAGCTGAGTTATTCCCCTTCTTCACTTCACTTTGATCTCTGCAGCTGGGTGAAGCTGCATTTTTTTTTTACCTCGAAGACCCTCTCCAATGCCGAGTGCCAGGCCGTCCTTGGTCCACTGGACGATGCCGCTGTAGTTGAAGACGACACAGGACAGCACCACCCGTTCTCCCAGCACCACCGACTGGTCCGCAGGCTCTTGGGAGAAACGAACGCACCACACTGCAACAGAAGGACAGAGAGGGGGATCAATTTTTTAGTTCCTTTCACTGTGACCTGGCCATGAGCTGGCATTTTTATTGCACTGTATCGAGCTACACAGTCCCTCTCTGGTCTTATTGACTTCTGTTTGTCCATATGGAGGTTGCTGGGTAATTTGTTGTGTGCTTTTATTGAATATAGGGTGTTTTTATTGTTTCTTTTATTATGTGTTTTTACTATGAGTGTATTTTAATATGAACCCGGTTTGAGTGAAATTTCTCTTACAGGAATAAACATGAACTCCATGCATATATAGTGTTCATTATTATTATTGTCTTTTTAGCTGGTCAAGAGTCCATTGCTTGAATTCTGTATATTTTTCATTCCTCCGTGTCTTTTCTCTCTGTTTTGTCTCTTTGCCTCCTTTTTAAGGTTTTCCCTGGTCTGAACTGAGGCTTCTGTGCAAAAGTGTGTGTGTACATGCATGGATGTGTAAGCGAACACTTGTGTAGCAAGAACATCATTGCAAGCTGTTATACAGCCTGCTCTTTTTCATCACACACAGTACAAAGGATTTTGCTTACACACACACACATTTCCTGCAGCAAAATAAGCCTTTTGGCTATCGCAGTGCCACTAAAATACACAGATAGAAAACTACAAGTGTAGCGCAGGCATACATTAACGCACTCGCTTAAAGAGAGAGTGTCAGGTGAGGAGGCGAGGCACTCACCCGGCGCTATTTTCAGCCGTTTGCATCATCAGGTAAAATTGTTTCATATTCTGGAGAAAGTCTTGCAAGAAGGCACGTTAATTAAGGCAGAGAGAGAGAGGGAGACTGCGCTGCCTTAGATGACACATGCACACGAACGTGCACGAGCACACATATACAAACACACTGAAACTTACAGAGACAGAAGCTTTTTCACACATGCAACAACCAATTTATGCAGTTGTGCACAAACGCACTATATCACTAACACAAATGCAGTTGCATACTCAGTCTGTGGAAGTGTGTATATGTGTGCAAGTGCACACATATACACACTTCCACAGAGTTTGCGTCTGTCTTCCCGTGGGCTATTCTGTTCTTGGATCATGGTTAAAACAATCCTATTAGCTAATTAAGGCAAAACTGGTTAATAAAGCGAGCCCTGGCTCTGAGGGACACATCTCAGTGGGATTCAACCACAAAGGTGCAAACAACAGGGCGATTTACTGATTTGTCAGGAGGATTACATGACTTGTCATGTTATTTGTGTGGAAGGCTTGTCTAATGAAGGCAGGACATTTTAAAACTTCACAAGAAGAGCTTTGATGTTTCGTCAACTTTCCTTTTGAATGCTGATTCAAGAAGACAACTGTGGCGACTGTGAGCTGATAGCTGTGTAATTTATTTTGAAGTTTAAGGGAAAAACTGCCTTAACACACTTCACCGTTCTTAGTGGCTGTTGCTTGGTTGTGCTTTTTGTTGAGATATTATTTCCAGAAGGGACAGTTTTTCCACTTAGTTCAAATGTTTAAACAACCTGTTAGGTTTTGTGTTCACTCTTATTTTGCTTCAAGTTATAGAAACCCCAAGGGAGGTCAGGTTATTAATTTTCATCAGAGTTTAAAATCTCATCCTCAGACTTTTTAATTCTCCTTTAAGCTTTTGGCTCTTATGACATGTTTAAATAGCAAACATTTAACAGCGTGTATCACCTTTTTAGTTTGTTTTGTCTCTTTTTTCCTGTATACTGTATTTCTTCTTAATTAATGTAAAACATTTTGTAATCATAGTTGTAGAGTGCTGCGAGTCATGTACTTCTGTATTCAGTAGTTTCAAATAAAGGCAAACTGTTCATAAAACGCTGGCATTTTTAGGCAGAATGTGGAAAAAAAACCTTTAATTAGTTCAGTCATTAGTTAAAATCCAAGCAGCTTTCGACTTTCAGCCCCTAAAATTCTCATTAATCTACTGGGGAAGATACAATGACGCCCTTAGATTTCTGCACAATCAATCAAAATGCAACACACAGAATATGGAAGCTGTGCTGCATTTTCAGTGCATGGTACAACTCGACCACTCTCTTGTTATCACTTTTATATACAGTATGATTTATTACATTAATATAGAATGTTAATGGATTTTATTTCTTCTGATATGTTAAACAACCCTGGCACAGAGGCAAAAATATCCATTCTAATGTTAGTTCTTGCAAGCCATATGTAAATATTCTTAAACAACTGCTGCAAGCCACCCAGAGACCCACCTTGACTCCATCTCCTAATTTTCATGTTATAGCTAATCTAATCCATGTTGCTCTTGCCTTTTTCTGTACTTGGGGTCTTATCGCTGCTCTCTCTCTGTCTTTTTCCTTTTTCCTTGTGTGAAGATGTATTCCACCAAGTAAAAATGAATGAAAAGGAAAACAGCAATCTTCTTTGTCTATAGTTCTCCTGATTGAAACACATTTTTTCACACCTGGTCTTTGAAAAACAGGTGATAATGTTCCCCGGCTGTAAAAATGTGCATTCTTAGGTCTTTAATCTTAAAAAGTGAAAGTCAAACAGAATACCTTAAAATAAAACTACGAACGTGGGAGCTGCTTCTCTTTCTGAGTGGAAAAAGAAGGAGCTGCTGGGTTGTGCCTGCTAACTTGAGTGATTTACATGTGGGTCATGTTATGCATGATTTATGCAAAATTAACAGCTATTATGAGCAAAGGCCCTCATCTTCGTGTATAACTCTGTACAGAACAACACATGTTCTCACGGGACTGGCTGTGATGTGTTTAATCTGTGTGTAACTGTGTAGGAGAGCGAAAGAGAGAAGTAGTGACAGAAAGATATGAAGGAGGAGACAAACATTTCTGTTTGTGTGCTGTGAAATGCATGAATGTGTGGGTATGACTGCGTGGGTATACACTGATCAGCCACAACATTAAAACTACCTGTATGATGTTGTGCAGTCTGTTACCAGCACAGTTCTGATCAGTCAGGGCAATAACTTAAGACCTCAAGGACTGTCAGTGTCTATAGCGGAAAGTTAGCAGTGGATCCTGCAGCGTTTGAATTGCAGTGTGCATTTGTGGTTTTTGTTTTGGAGGCTTGGTTAATACCTTTAATATCTGTGCTCCAGAGCAGCATTTGCATTGAGGCTGGGCACAACGTTGTGTTGGAAGAGGCCAGAACCACTGGCCAGTGCAATCACAGGAAGGGTTTTTGCTCGCAACAATGCCAGTGGTAGGTAACACATGTCAGTATTTTATCCAATTGTATTCAAGGAATCTCACAGTTTAATGCCGAACATTAGATTTTAACTTCACCCGTCAGTGGGTTTAAAGTTGTGGCTGCCTGGAGTAGATTTGTGTGCATATTTGGGATTGAATACGTGTGTCTGCAGTTTGTCAGCTTGAAGCAGGGATTCAGATCAGAGAAGTGAGAGCTGTACAGACAGAGAACAGAGATGTAATTAACCCTACGGGATACCCCACCAACCCGCTGCCTCCACCAGCATACACACACCTCTGTCTCTCTCCCCTTTAACATTTTCTCCATTTTCAAACTCCCCGTGTATTCCTTTTCACATGTGGTCAGTTTCTCTACATTTATATTTGCTTTGTGTGTTGCTCTTTTTTTTAGCCTCTCTACATTTTCCTCAAATCACTTTTTCTTTTTTCTTGTTAGGGTTTCCAAGTTCATCCTGTTTAACTTTGACTAGCCCACCTCTTTTAATACAGTCTGACTCTTTCCGTCCTCGTTTCCTCTCCTTCTTTGTGTATTTTTTTCAATGCAGCAATGCACAATTTTTATAGCTTCTTCAATCCCGCTCTCTTTTGTTCTTTGGACCCAGCTCGTTGTTTCTCCACCTCCCTCCATCTTCTCTCTTTCCTCTCCCGCTTCACTTCACTACCCCTCTAGTACTCCAGTATTTCCCTCATTATCTCTCTGTATCTATGAACATTTTTTCCATGTTTTTTATATATTTCTCACTTTTCTTCGCCCTCTCTCCTATCCACTGTTTTCTGCTGCAATTGTCTCTTTCTGTCTCAGCCTCCTCCTCACTCTCCTTCTCATCTTTACATCCCTGCATCATTACCCTTGGGGATAATCTTGGGCATATCTTCTCTTCCTCTTTTTTATTCTCATTGCATAATGACCCAGCTTCACAATAAAAGCCACAGTGCCCTTGCATATTATCCGTAATACCTTTAATATATTTTATTCACTTTGGTCTTTTTTTCCCTTCAGGCTGAGCTTTGTTAAACATCAATACAAGCACTATCTAACTAGCCCTATCAATTTCTACTTGAAGCGTACAAGTCTTTCTGTATTATAAAGAAATTCTACATTTTGCATTAATGCTGAAGTATTAACATTCAGTGGCTGACTTGGAATAGAGGAGCTGCACTAGAATCTCACACAGAAGTGTAGGCTGAAGGGGGAAGCTGAGCAGCAAGGACGATTTTTGCCAGTGAATTTGTACTGTAAAATAATTCATAGACTTTCATAATGAGTAACCTAGGACATCGGTTCATGTGAACATTTATGCAGGTGATTAACCATATAAGAAATGTTTGCCTTCACTTGACACTTGACTTGATAAGTAGTTGTATGCCATCCATACATACATACATTCATACATCCATAACTGCTAGTTCAGGCTCACAGTGGTATGGAGGCTGTCCCAGCTATGGTAGGGAAAAATGGTCTATACCTTGGTGTCTATTGTGACTGCTCCCACAAAGCTGATGTATGTTTCAGAGCATATTTAATGTTGTATTGTGGTCTGCATCAGCCCTTTCACAGCTGTCATTGTATAACACTGAATTCATTGTCTTTTTCACTTCAAAACTCATCTTTTCTCCAAATGAAAAGCCACTTGCAAAGAAACAACACAATACGAATACACATGGCTCTTGTTTTGTCAGGGGTGCCGGGTACAGGAAAGACTTAGCACCTTGCTTACTGCAACCAAAGACTTTAACAAAGGATTAGAAAGAAGTTTAAAAAGTGTGCTGTTTGGGTTGAAATGA